TCCCTCTGAAAGTTATTCACTGTCTGAGCCGGGTATTGAACTCACTCTTTGGGTCCTGACTCTGGATCTAACTAATGCCTTTATCCACTGTGCCATGTGTCCTTGTAATAAATATGGCGGCATAGATGAGGACAATAGTCCGAATAATGTAATTAATGTACATAATACCTCATCTCAGACATATAGACAGATACATGTATATTGTTTACGTGCCAAGTTTAATGGATGTCGGTTATCAGCTATCTCCTGTTAATTCCCCTCTGCAAGGACACATGGCACAGTGGATAAAGGCGTTGGTTAGATCCAGTGACTGGACCCAAAGTAAGTTCAGTACCCCGTTAAGGCAGTGGAGAATTTAGAGAGGGGAATTAATAGGAGATAACTGATAACTGACATCCATTAAACATGGCACGTGGAACTAGATCAATCTACCGCAGTGAACGAAATAAAAGGTTCAGTTCAACATTCCAACCACCTGAAGAAGGCCGGAGCGTACTACGGCCGAAACGTTGTAATAAATATGGCGACAAGATCAGGACAATATTCCGAATAATGTAAATAGTGTACATAATATCTAACCACTTTTTTCATCATGCATTATTGTTCTAAATATCAGCGGCCTAGTTACTCACAAGTTTAGTACAATGTATTCTCAGCATCCTTCTGTAGTACCAGATTTTTGTTGCCTCTTGTATGTTCTTCATGTCAGGGGATGTTGACTTGTATTTCGTACTTGATTCCATAGCCGGCAACTACTGGTTTTCGAGAACACCTGTCTGTCAGGGCAACTAGCAAATCCTATGATAGACGTTTGCGCAACCCATGGAGTTTACATGTGGTCTATACGACATCTAATGGGAGGGAAATGCAGTTACAGTTTCTGAAGGCATAATCTGGCGTGTTCAGTATTTTTTAACAAGGATAGCATGCTTAAATTCTCGGTCACGATGACCTGTATTTTTGTGCTAGCATTCTGTATTAGACGTGTGATCTTACTTATTATAAAACGCAGATTGTGTGTGTATGTATGTGTTTCTGTAACGTTTATATATTGGATCGGATTTCTTACATTTTTTAGCCGATTTCAACAAAACTTCACAGGACTACATAAAATTACCTTGTGGTGGTTTTAACAAGGCCGAAAATGGGAAACACACAATTGGTTTTTAACAAAATCAATTTAAAATCACGATTAAGACACATCGCGAGAATGAAAGGGGGACAACTCACATTGTGTTAAAAAAAACCACGTTGTTTGTATGTGTGTGTGTTCCTTTATATATGGGATCGGATTTCCTACATTTTTCAGCCGATAAAACAAACATTCACTTTTTTTGGCAGGTAGTGTTTCTTATTGTCTTTCACACTTTTTTCTTTATTTATACATTCAGAATGCTTTAAAAATTCCATTTACAAGACAGTTGCTTATAATAAAATTCTATTCAAGTGTGAGACATCATAACGATTGAAAACAATGTTTTTGTTTGAGTTTGGGTTTGACCAATTCGTAAAAAAACCCCAAAAAAACAAAAACAAAAAATCTAAGACATGCGTTTCCGCCAACCTTAAACAATAATCTAACGATCTCTACTGATTGTACGAATCCAAACATCGATAATTCTTTATCTTTAGGGAAAGATAATTCCACGTATTTTAGGGCCGTTTTTACAATTCCCTTTGCAATTTGTTACAAGGCAGATCAATAAGGCATTGGTTCTATTTGAAATTAATTCAATATTTAAAAGAAAGTATTAGAAATAATTTAAAAATGCCGACGTAAGAAATCTGATAGACAAAAACAACAATATTTCGAAGATGATAATTATTAAGGAAAGAACACAGTACTTACCTTGTAATAAATTAATAAACCCAAATAAAGTTAATATTTTTTGTATTAGAAACAACGAGTAGAAAACATATTCAAATCAGAATTCTAATTATGAATCACCACAAGCAAAATATGCATTTTTTTTTTACTGTATTCAATAGTAAAAATCATAAATTGTAAAAAGATTACAGAAAGGCTACCTACATTTTTCAACCGATTTCAACAAAACTTCACTTTTTTTGGCAGGTAGTGTTTCTTATTGTCTTTTATTTTTTTTTTTTCTTTATTTTTACATTCAGAATGCTTTAAAAATTCCATTTACAAGACAATTGTTTATAATAAAATTCTATTCATTAATCGATAGACTCATAACGATTGTAAACAATGTTTTTGTTTGATTTTGGGTTTGACCAATTCGTAAAAAAAAAAAATTAAAAAAATAATTAAGTCATGCGTGTCCGTCAACTTTAAACAATAATCTTTGTCAATTTTATTTTTCAATCTTTATGATGATCGATACTAGATCTATCTCTTACTGTTATATCCCCGGGCAACGCCGGGATCTACTGGTAGTATTAAATAAAAGTGCAGCACTCTTTTCTCAAGAACGGTTTCTTAAATAACATTTGGAAGGAATCTTTCGCTGTTCCAGTGCGTTTTGGATTTCAGGGTCACATTTTCCGTTCTCTGTTGAAAAACTTCCCAGATATTTAAATTTTCATTCTTGATTTTAGTACTTTCTTTTTCGTAGTTGGCAACTTGGGTTGCACCTATTGCTGACAACAATTCATTTTGTTTTCTTACTATTGATATTTATTGCTTGATCTCACTGATTGGTTTGACTTTGATCTGAGAAGTTTTCAACACGGCCTGCTTTCATTTGCGAATCTACCTGCTTAACCTGCATAGCAAATAATTAGATCCTATAACACAAACATAAGTATATCAATATACATATTGATACAGAAATATAAATCCACCACTAGAAGATACTTTAAAAATGGGTTCGAAAACTCTATTACATATAATGAGTCCGATTACTATTTAGAGGCTCTTATGTGTGACCAACAAAACATCAGAGAGTTTTTGTAGCTAGAGTGTTGCAGTAACATGGAAAAGATGAATGAGCTTTGCCATGTAAATAATGGTTGAAAAAGAGAATAAAGATATAATGATGACAGAAGGCGATTGAACCATAACTGATTGATTAATTTGTCTGTTTAAAATATATTGCAGATATATTTACGATAAAAATGTATTTTATACTTTAAGAGTATTTGCCTATGTATGAGACCCGAATATGGGCTGCCAACCCAAGCTATGGTGGACTTGGGAAAATAGGTGTAAGGATACAGAAGGCGATTATCTTCCTTTGGAGGTCGTAAGTCGTATGGGTCATATGCCAGATGTTTCATAATGTCACTCCGTACAAAGAGGATAAGCGGCAATTAAAATTCAGTTCGTTTACAGCAACCAAACGTTAAGGTTGTTTGCTTTAGCTAGGGCCAATCATAGGTCAGACCGAGGCTAAATCTTCTTACCAAACAGCTTAAAACTACAGTGTGTCGTTTCCCTTTAGGAATATATCTTTCCAAGATATAGAAGTAAACTCCAGTTCAAAGTCCTCAAAATGGGAAAACTAAGACTCGCTGTTTTTCGTTCGGGGATTATGTCCTCGCCTGTGGCATAGGAAAATCAGACCCATTCTAAACATGGCTTCTTCAGACACTGGAGTATCTCCATATTATATGTAAGACCTTTCTTTTTGTTTCACCTTACAGTTTGATTTTCTGTGTAGATATATGTGATATATTATACTCCTCGTGTGACACTTGTACATATGTATAGTTTAACCCTACAACCACACGTCTAAAATAACAAAAACAAAAAAACAAACAAAAAATGTAGTGCATCAGTTTAAATGCTCGTTCAAAAACAGTATCTCTGATACTAATAATAAACCCTTTACATATATTGGTTTTATTACAACCACGCTCTTCCGTAGACTTACCTGTCACCGTCCCGATCTTAGTTCTATTAAACAGCGTTTGTAAGAAAAACATAGCCATGAATATAATATTAGATAGATAATAATTGATAACAGAAAAATACTCACACATACACAATTAAAAAGAACCAGCAGGTATTGGAAGCCATCTTCATTAAAACAAAGCAACGCACACTCAAAATAAAATTACATTTTAAACTAGTCGCAACACATAACAATTCATCTAGAGTTATGGTTCTGTTGTTTATATTTCCGTCGCTCATGTGGTACGGCGTCATAGAACAGCATCATGAATCTACGACCTGCCTCTGCTATTCCACGACCGTTAACATCGCATAGCAATATGCTATGTCAGCATAACAGCGTACCATCTTTGATGGTGAATATCTTTGTTTAAATGGCCGCATAACTGCACTGAAGATGGCTCATCTGAGCCGAAAGCTCGGATCAAGTAAAAAAATAAACAAATATCCAAATGTTGGACAATATTTGTTTTCATTTTCACCTGAAATTAAAGCAACCATACGACCTTTAGAACGGCGCATGATCAAACCTAATAGATATTCATTGTCCCTTTTATTTAAAAATATATGTATAGTTTTGTCTATGTCATAGTGATATAAAAGTATCTATGAGAACAAAGCATGTTTACCATTCTTTTTCCTTTCATCCATTCTGTTCCGTCCGTGAAATAACAGTGTTATTATATCATGGATATAATAATTCCCATAAAGTTGGAAAACACACGGGCGAATAAATCTTTCTTCCAAGCGCTCATGTCACACAAAAATGTATAGGTTGTCCGACGCTGCTTATAATTTTCAATCTTCCTGATCGTGCGAGAACCGATATTTCAAATGAACATGACCGTAAGTCTTCCGTATAATTGGCTTTTTATTGATTGATTCGTTTTCTACTGCTTATGAACATTGCCGATCATTTAAATCCAGAAAATATTATTAATGAACATAATAATGATTTAGTGTTACAAGTCTTACTAATTAACCCATAGTTGGGGGTAGAACAGGTGGATTCATACCATTTCCAACTTTAATTGACGGAGGGCAATATAAAGAACCTAACTAGAATTGGAACTCGGTTTTCTGATTAACAATTCCGAGCCATTATCCGTTACACTACGAGCATATCCAAGCTTACCGGGTCTGATATTCCCAAGCGGTCAAATATTTAGGTACTGACCAAGCTCAACCTTGCTTAACTTCGGTGATTGTATGGGAACTAGTGCTTTAAAGTGATATGCCCATAAGCCTATATTTCCATGGAAGGCGAAGAGTTAATGGTTAATAATTTTGATAACGTACCAAAATTTAACGAATAGACTTCTTTTTTTTATCTTTTCGCATCTGTTCTTCTTCAGGAAGAGGAATGAGAAACTTCATTCTCATTCTTTCCCATGCTACGCGAGAGAACTTATTTCGTTGTAGTTGCATGAGGTTTTGACACGCGTGTTCATTCTTATGTCAGTAAATTATTTTTTCTATTCTTTTCACAGTTGCAGTCAATGTACGATATTTGCGATTTACACCTCGATAAACAGTTGCGTTTTTCTTACCGACCACGGCTTCGGTCTAATGAGAACAGGTTATCATATTATTTTCTTTTAAAGAAAAAAAAAAAGCAAAAAAAAAAGCAAAAAAAAAGCAAAAAAAAAAGGAATAGTTTTCCTAATACTTCTCGTTAATGCCAGCAGCTGCTGTTGGTTCTCATAACAACAATAAAAGCACATCTGATCGATATATCGATAAGGGAAATTTGAAATTGCATGAGCGAGAAATGTGTTCTGATACACAGTGCTGGCTGCTTCCATCAACCCTGATGAGCACAAATCGGCCCTCTAAACAGATACAATTACACGTACAGAAACATGGTATATAGTTTTCTTTTTTGCAACATATCAATAATGATTGTTATATTTCGTTTTTAATACAACGGATATTCCTATATACGAGAGGTGCTGAAAAGCATTGGATTCAAGTCAAATTCCTAAATCCGAGTAGTGGAGGAACACCTTTGTTGCCTTATGTTTTCAGTCACACACTGTAATTACATATATATATATATATATATATATATATATATATATATAAAACACTATATATATATATATATATATATATATATATATATATATATATATTCGTTTTATTTATTTGTTTCCGCACGCGCGCGCACACACACACACACACACACACACATATATATATATATATATATATATATATATATATATATATATATATATATAAAATGCTCAAACAGTAATATTCCAGGGTTATAATTTATTACATTGGGATCGTAATCACGTAATGATCGTAATCATCAGACCTACAAATTCAAAAAGAAATCGGAAAATTTTCCGATGTCGTATTTAAATGTTATTTAATACTGTTTATTATAAACAGAGCATTTACTTAAATACTTGTATCTATAAAAAAGAACGTTAAACATAAAAATGTCTTTAATAAATAAATTGTCGGACTTTGTCCATTTCTTAATATATGACGTCATTTGTTTACATTTGATACGCCAGAGCAGTTATGAATGTACGAGATTTATGGAAGATTGAAGTTTATAAGCAGTAAATTCGACCTTGCCTACCGAACGCTCCTTTGTGGCCGAGACGGTAAGGCACGTCAGCGTAAATCCTGTCAAATCCTATCAAAGCACGAATATTTTCTATGAAAATTTCTCGGACATTCAGGCCGGTAAATGTTATTTAATACTGTTTATTATAAACAGAGCATTTACTTAAATACTTGTATCTATAAAAAAGAACGTTAAACATAAAAATGTCTTTAATATAATCCTATGCTATATCCAAGCTTCTAATTCTCTGGATGGAGCAAGTTGCCGAAGGAAGTCGTTGGTCTTGAGGACTTGTCTTGTCTGTTATGTGTACGTGGATGAGTATCACCACCGGAAACAGGATTATCTGCACTATATTGTGCCTAGTTACTTAATTCCCTCTTCCTCACCAAGGTATGATGCTTGTATCGTAGCTGTCCTGGGGGATGTTCACTGCTGATTAATTCTCGAAAATGAAACGAAACGGCAGTTCTGTGCTCTTCTGTAGTTTTTTAGGTTTCTGGGTCTAGACATGATAAATTATTATTATGATATATATATATATATATATATATATATATATATATATATATATATATATATATATATATATATCATAATACGAAATTGGACAACAAAATTACTTCTGTGGATCTTCCTGTTATGGTGTTACGTATATAAACGGTGAAATGTAGCGTTAAAAAATATCATTTTACAATACCACCTGAAGAATCCTTATGGCTTAAACCCTAGTCATGTAACTGGTAAAGGATTTTATATATATATATATATATATATATATATATATATATATATATATATATATATATATAACAGATAATTCATTAAAAGTTTATCAAGGCAAGTGATGATAAGCAATTGAAATATTTCATAGTTACATAAATTCAAAAATTTTAAAAGGCGCTCAAAGAAATCCTCATTTGGAATATTAGTACTAATATATATATATATATATATATATATATATATATATATATATATATATATATATATATATATATATATATATATATATATATATATATATATATATATATATATATATATATATGGGATCACTCCCTATCAAAATGTAATGAGAACAATAAACTAACAAGTAATACAGTAATACAAAATATGTGTAGTGGATTTAGCTTATTCGCCTTCATTGACCATGTTCCACATCGAGAAGGTCACTATGAACACTATTATTTTCGTGTCACAGTATGATGCGACGCCATGTCTTGTGTGATATTTTACAAAGTAGGTATCTCTCATCTTATACCCTCTCCGTGACAATGCTCCTCATAGTGTTGAAATATAAAATAAAGCTTATTTTTTTTCTTCTTTACCTTTGATATTGATTGTGGTGAAAAAAAAAAGAACTCAACCAACATATTTCTGTTATATTCTGTTAAAAATAATAAATAAAAAAATATTCTGTTACTTTGTTGTGGCCATTAAAAAAAATAAATAAAACTTACATTATTTAGACTACTATTCATATCTTCACTGCCATATTCACAACGTTTCGATCGTTGTACGCTCCGGATTCTTCAGCTGATTGGAATTTCGAACCGAACACTTTATTTCGTCCACAGGTATAGAAAAGTTTAATCCAGCTTTGAGAATCCACGGAAGCGAATAAAAGCACTAATCTGCTATATATTCGCGTATGCGGAAGATCCTTTCTTTGGTTGTTACACCAAATGGACTGTTGGCAGGAATTAATTTAAATATGAAAAAGAGAAATTCAATATGATTTCGAAGCTCAAACAACTTTAACAAAGTATAACCCAAATGAAAAGTAAACTTTTGCACGAGAAAAACAACATCCTCAGTGTTAGCCATAGCTTCAAGTCGGGATTGAAACCCTTATCAGTATACCGTATCTTACCACTAGGCCATCGTTGCACGGCAGTAAGGGGATTTTAAAGTTTTTAAAGTGGCTCAGAGAACTCAATTCATACTTGAAGAATAATGCTTAATAGTTGTATGAGCAGCTGTTTTTAAAAAACCCTTTTCATAGAGAGCTGAACCTGATTTCCAGAAACATATATAGTCATCCAAAAATAGACTGTTTCGATGGATCACAGTTTCTCATTGTGGCTAGACGTCCGATTGATTCAAGCCAGGATCGAAACCCGACTGCTTTGACATTACCTTAGGCCATTATATATATATATATATATATATATATATATATATATATATATATATATATATATATATATATGTATGTATGTATTACTACCCATTTTTAATCATCTGTTTTAGATAGAAATTATTTAGATAGATAGATAGATAGATAGATGGCTAACGTTTTCACCTGGCATGTAGTGGGAAGGGTATATTGAAACAATTGCTGCATATGTTTCACTATGTCGTGTTATATATTTTTTTCGCTATAATCTATCTTACATATTTATTAGTTTGCCGTTCGACATTGCATTTTATATTGCTGCTACAACTGGTCTGGTGTTGTTACTATATATTTACATATTCTGGATAAGATCCAAAGGAGAATCTGCAATCCTATTGGTCCTAACCTGACATCTCGTTTCAGTCTCTTTTTTTCCGCAGTAACGATGCTTCATTGTGCCTTTTCTATAAATAATTCCATGGTAAATTTTTTGATGAACTTTCCGTTATCTTACTTAGACATTATTAATTTAAGTGCAGTACTACATTGGTGACAAGGTCTCATCAGTTTTATAGCTGAAATGGCTAGATTTAACTGCAAATTTTATACTAATATTTTCTTCGATTTCACTTCTCGGTTGTGGAACTCTCTTCTGGCTTCTTGCTTCTCAGTCAACTTTGTTCTTCAAAAATTTAAATACAATGTCCATTGTTATCTTCTTTCGTCTTAACTCTTGTCCTTTTATTGTCTCCTCTTCTTAACACTAGCGTTTCTCATATTCTCTAACACACAGTACCCCTTTGCATCCTAGTGGTTTTATTGCCTTGCTTGGAGGGAAATTATTAAAAGATAGATCGCTAGATAGTGAACAGATTGACACACACACACGCACAAGCACCTATATATATATATATATATATATATATATATATATATATATATATATATATATATATATATAGAGAGAGACAGAGATAGAGAGGAAAAGAGAGAGATAGATAGATAGATAGATAGATAGATAGATAGATAGATAGATAGATAGATGTTGATGGTTAATTAGAAACAGATGAATTTGAAAATTTGTGAAAATTATTTTTAGACATTCTCACCTGTTCAGCTAAAATACATCACGTTCTTTGAATTGTTTCAAAAGTTCTTGCTATATTAAGTAATGAATATTATTAGTTTTTAAAAGAAATCGATTAATGTTCGCTAAATAATAATAACTGAAGACTCATGTATTTATTATCTTGCAAAACAATATGGAGATATTATTCGTCTATCGCTGATGTTCGATTAAACTTAACGAACGTTTCATTTCAACTTCTGGTGGGAATGATATTTCCTTTGATACTACAGGTAATTAACTATAACAAGACTGCAAGTGACTCTCGTTGCTATAGTTTAAAGATTCTAAAATGATTGTTACAGTATTAAATTCAATTTAAGCATTTTCTAATCGTACTCAGGAACTTTTTTTTAGAAACTTTACCTACATACAACAACCTAAGTGTGTAACCCTCTACCTTGAGTGG